ATGCGTTTACCCTCTGGAAGAGCAAGGATTAATCTAATATAAAGGTAGTCTATTCGCCCGGGTGTCTAGGTAAGTTGATTTTGTATCTAAGTTGTATTGTTTTATTGATGATAAAGCAAATAAAGTCAACGATAGCTATCGGGAAGATAACATAAGACAAGGAGAGACGTTCAATATCTGCATCTTCATTTTTAACATTTTTTGCTAATCAGACAATGAACGTTTGAAGCATCTATTTGGCCTAGACAGAGACATATGTTTTATATGTCTCTGACCTCGAGGATGGGAATGATAATCAATTAAAAAGATCGTGTTATATCTGACTCTATTTAAATCGGTTGATTCTATATTTTATTTGGTATGTATTTCTGATTCGATCTGTGTCCTGGTATTCTAAATAGATTCGAATGATATTTCATTTGGCCTGTGTCATTTACGTTAGAATTCCATGGTATTTGATTTGGTCTGTGTCTTATTTGTTGACGTTAGCAATGATATTTGATTTGGTCCGTGCCCTATTTGATTAGGATTGCATTGTACTTGATTTGGTCTGTGTCCTTTTTGAATGAGGATTGCATGGTGAATGCTTTGGTCTGTGTCCTATTTGAATTAAGGTTGTATTGTATTTGATTTGGTCTGTGTCCTTTTTGAGTGAGGATTGTATTGTATTCCGTGTCCTATTTGATTAGGATTGCAATGTATTTGATCTGGTCTGTGTCCTTTTTGAATGAGGATTGCATGGTGAATGCTTTGGTCTGTGTCCTATTTGAATTAAGGTTGTATTGTATTTGATTTGGTCTGTGTCCTTTTTGAGTGAGGATTGTATTGTATTCCGTGTCCTATTTGATTAGGATTGCAATGTATTTGATCTGGTCTGTGTCCTTTTTGAATGAGGATTGTATGGTGAATGCTTTGGTCTGTGTCCCGTTTGAATTAAGATTGTGTTGTATTTGATTTGTTCTGTGTTTCTAATTTGAATAGAATTGCATTTTATTTTATTTGGTCGTTGTCCTATTTGAATAACGATTGTATTGTATTTGATTTGGTCTGTGTCCTATTTAAATTAGGATTGTGTATTTGATTTGGCCTGTATCCTATTCTAACTAGGATTGTATTGTATTTTATTTGGTCACTGTTCTATTTGAATGAGGATTGTATCGTTGTATTTGATTTGGTCTGTGTTCTATTTGAATTAGGATTGTATTGAATTTGATTTGGTCTGTGTCCTATTTGAATTAGGATTGCACTGTATTTAATTTGTTCTGCGTCCTATTTGAATTAGGATTGTGTTGAATTTGATTTGGTCCGTGTCCTATTTGATTTAGGGTTGCATTGTATTTGATTTGGTCTGTCTCCTATTTGAATTAGGATTGCAAGGTATTTAAGTGGTATTCGATTCTGTCTACTCGGTCTTTGCTTCTGTTTGTTTCTTTGGTTTGGTTAATACTTTTATTTTGATTGGGTCTATGTCCAATTTGATTTGGTCTGGGCCATCCCATGAACCGCGGATTAACAACATTTATTGATACCACGAAATTATCAATACATTTGTTTACTTTTCGTTTCGGTTACCAGGCGCAAAGGTTCTCTCTGGCCACACCGATGATTGTTTTTCTTTTTAATAGTTTTGAATCGAACTGCATATTTTATGATCTAGAGTAAAGAATACTGAATACTTTACTCCTCGTTGATTTCTCTCTTGTTTACTCTCTGTCAATTTTGACACAAAAACACTGTAATTATTTTACTGGTAATAAAATGTTTATTGGTGATACCAAATGGATTCTATAGGGGGAAATACGTTTCTTTTTATATTTGTTTTTATAATCAGTTATCGATACAACATCTAACAACTCTGTACCATAACTATTAAATAGCTCTTAGTGATGTCAATAATTGTCATTGCTCTGAGTGTTAATCTGAACAAAGAGGTTTTTGGTAAGTTGTTTATATAAACCTTTATTTTATTCATTGACTTTATTTTAGTGGGCAATGTACAATATATCATTTCCATGCTCTATGCTCAAGTATTTACTCATATAAGCTTAATAATATTCAAAAATAATCGAGGGGGTTCATTGCATCTACAAACCATGGTTACACTAAGAGCCTAAAAATGATCGGAAATTTGAGTAAATTTTGATTAAATGTGCTTCGAGAGAATTGTGTTGAACTGTATTGCGTCAGTCATATTTAAATAACTACTGTTCAATTATGTCTCTTATTACATTTTCAAGTGGTTGAAAATCGAAATCGACCAATGTTATTCTTAAGACCGTGTAGAAGACGTTTCTACGTATACGTTTATTATGCCCTTATAAAACGTGTATGCATAATGTATAATTAGTATATAAAAATGTAAAATTAAAGAAAATTTTATGAAGTTATGAATGAATTGATAATACGGCTATCATCAAATCACATGAAATCAAGAGATGATGTAAAGTTGTACCCTTTTGAAAAACAAGATTTTGATTGTTATGGCGATAAAATCCACACTTTGTAGAGTTTGAGTCAACGGAGTTACAAGTAGGGTGAGGATGATACTTAAATGTGGCATCATATTCTGCATCAACATTTCTGTTTCCCTGCTCATATTTCTTTTGATCAAGCGCATCAAACCAAGTTGACACGCTCCGTATAATTAACCAATCAATCAAAATGGTCGCCATTACATGTTGGGACTGGCCATACCATTTGTACTCAAAGTGCTTGCTTTCCTCACATTTCTTATGCAATTCCAGTTTACTTAATGCTGATTTTTCGATTCTTTCGTCTCTATTTTGAATAATGTGTAGCGAAAGGGCCCAATAGCTCGATAGTTAAAGCCTAATATGGTAAAGGAGAAAGAAGTATCTGGTTGAAAGGCCAAACAAACAAATGAACAAACCAATGTGAAGAAAATGCATAAATCAATCAAATATACCACCCCCAATCAAACAAGTAACAAACAAACAATCGAATAAACAAACCAATAAATCAATCTTCAATCTTGTCAGCATCATTACTTCACCAAAAACCTATCAAGGTAGAAATGTTAAATGAGGTGAAATTATAGATAAAAGATAATTGAAATACTCCCAGTTTAATGAACACCAATCATGAACTTTCTTCAAGTTCCGTCCATTCTTAACACAAGTCGGAAGTCTTCTTTCTGGTCTTACGACGTATTTGATTGTTGAGCAGTTGATACAATTCGCGCGACAGTTCATTTATTTCATTCCTTGCGGATTCTACTATATTCTCACTATTATTTTTTCATAAATGACCCCCTGTCGGGGTGCTATATCGACGAGTACAGACCGCAGGGCCAGGCACAAACGTTTTCTGTTTTTCGAAGGCTTTTGTGCCGAGCTCTAAGGTCTGTATTCGTCGATATAACAGCTGCTCTTTAAGATTCGAACATGAAAACTAACCAAAATGTTTCGAATATTCATGATGGTCCGCCATTACTACGACCCGCCTGTATAACGTCACACATTACTCGTATTACCAGGGGTATTATTCGCGAATATAACCCGGGTGAAATATTGACTTTGTTCATAGTTTATAGAAGGCGTGAATATTCAATACAGTCATGTTCGAATTCTTAATAACGCATTTTGTTAGTGGTCGGTAATTTTTCGAGTACATGATCATTTTGGACGCCACCTATTGTCACTATCCATAGTGAAATAATCCTAGGATCAGCAGATATAATTGATACTAAATTATATAGAAAATTATGAATTGTTATATGGCTCGGTAGATCTTCTAACTGAGTAATTAAATTCAGTAGTACATCAAATGTTTTCATTTTTACTCAGTAACTGATTGGGTTGTTACTGCGACTATAGATAGTAGACACCTTTGTTTTGGTAGTGTAGTGTAGAATAAAACCTCGCTTAACAAATCCTTGAAGACTTTTAGGTTTGTTTAAGGAGAAACAAATCGGTCAGTCTGTTGAGTCCATTCAATTTTGCAACTCATAGATCGCTCTGAAGTAGATTAATGTTCATTTTAGGAGCGTTAGAAGATGGGCTACTTTTACCTATTCCGTAAGAGAATCAAAAAAGTGTGTTCGGCGAGAGATTACTTTTCGCAGCTGTCTGTTCAGTAAGAATGCCTGTTTGTTTACACCCCTTGGTTGATTTGTTTTGTTGTCAGTTTTCAATACTTCCTGATTCAAGATAAGTTTACAATTATGCTACTTGACTTCTTATTGCTGTATTCTCAGACATTCCCGTTTAAAATAATATAGTGATATGAAGTCTTGAATATATACTTGTTTATCTTATTCCTTTCTGAGTTAGCCTAACTATTTGAAAACCATTTATACCATTTGAAAACATGTCAACCATGGCAGGCTAGATGTTTGAAGGAGAGGTTTTGTGGGAAAATGATCAGTGTAAAATGTTTTTGTTTGAAATGGCCTATAGAAAGTATGTTTTTGTGTGAAATGGTTAACATTAGATAATAATAGGACGAGGGGGCAATGACTTATAGTCGTATATTGTACTAGTAAAAATGATCTGCTTGTTTGATTTATCGAAAATGACCTTGCTAATGCCTTGGTCACATTTGCTCCGATTTTCACTACGGCGCCCGGCCGATTGAGTATTTTGTTCAGAAATGTATTCAATTTTGAACAAATCGCAGCAAATGAAATGTTTAGGTCCTCTTAGAAAAAAGAAGATGAATGACTGCCAAATAATCATATCTGTCTTGGCATGATTTTTTTTCAAAAATTGCACCAGCCTTGTCGTACAATGTGATCAGCGGCTTACTTTTGGTTTCTAACTGTGTCATACATCATTACTATCTAATATCATCCATCCGTGCAAGTATTGGAGCGCTGAAGTACTTCCTTTTCGATCAAGATGTGTAATTGTTAGTCGAGTGAATGTTTTTCTGCCCAATTTCAATATCTCCGGACGTTGTCCGAACTCGTATGATCATGCCAACATATGGCAATACTTTTTTATATCACGTCGCTGTTATGTCATTTGTGTCATTTTCAGATTGGTACAAAATTGACCGACTACGCATGAACTTTACTTCAATCTGCACAATATACTAGTTCAGTGACTTCAACTAAAATATAAAAACAACAGCAAAATCGGAGATATGTTTAGCGTGAAGATTGATTAAAATACCCAATGGATCTTGACCGTATATAAGGTAAGTCAAATCGTTGTATCCACTACTCATACATTGCACGCCGAGTATCCAGTTACTACAACTTTCAAGCTCTGAAATACATTTACACATTTACCTACACTTATGAAACATAACATTAAGGTAAAATTAAAGTAAATCAAAAGTACAAAAGATGGCAGCCATATTTTTTTTGATAAAGTCAGAAGATTTTGTATAAGGTTTTTGGCCATTGCCAGACTACGCGATTTCGGTCTTTAAACAATGAATAGAATTTTCCCTGAATTTGAAATAGCCATTGTACTATGAAATAAAGTTCTACTGAGTTTCACTTACTAAAGTTTCATAGAAAATTTTAGGTTTCAATTTTATCATATCTCTCAAGCTTCTAACATGAGCTCATTGCTTGCGATGTCAGCGGGGCTTGGACAGTCCCCGTGATTATACTCAAGGCCAAAGCGTTATGTCTGGGTCATATTTGCTCCGATCCATCGGTCGGCGCCCGGCCGATTGAATGTTTTGTTCAATATTGTATTCAATTTTGAACAAAATACTCGATCGGCCGGACGCCGTAGCGAAAATCGGAGCAAATGTGACCAGGGCATTTACTAGCTAAAAGCAACTCTTATATATTCACTAAATCATGTAACCGAAACAACGTATTTTCAATATGATATTGATAACTTGATAAATCTTTAAGGTTTGTTGACCCACAAAAATATAACACTTATTTAAATCTACAGAGAGATTACGCGTGGCAGAGAGTCAACCATCATGGAGTCGGGATCAAAGGAGGACTTGGCTTTAGTATTAAAAAATGCAAGGGCAAATCATCAGTTCTATAGTCAACAACAGGCGCCCCTTCAACAAGAAGCAAATGGAAAAGCAAATTCTCAAAATGGCGACGTATATGACGGATACCAAAGCGAGGCTGAAACTCGCCGTAGCGACAACAGACCACAGACATTTAAAACACATCATGATGAGGACGATCCTGATAAAGAAGATGTTCTTGGGAGTCTTTATGAGAACGCGATATCTGAGGCAGGATTTGGGAAGTTCCAGTGGACATTGCTATTCGTTCTTGGCCTTGGAATAATGGGAGACGGCATAGAGTTGTATGTGGTGGCGTTTATTCTACCAGGAGCAGAGAAAGATTTATGTATGACGTCAGCCATGAAAGGATGGTTAGGTTAGTCAATGTTTAACGCTTATTAACACGCTGATTAAGGATAGTGATCGATCGTCTCTCGATACTAGTCAGTTCCGTTGATTTTGATTGACATGTGTATTTAACCATTTAAGCCTTGTAACTTTTAACATCATTTGGACAGTCTGATGCTTCCGAAACGCGACTTAACCATCTTAGAATTCCAAAGCGTTAAATTGTGAAAATTCAGTATTAATACAGTTCTGATACAAATCTGATTTTTTATAAGAAAATAGCAATGACACATTGAAATGCAGTTTAAAAGAATGTTAAAAATGATTTTTAATCATTCACAAAATGTTTCATTGTACTTTTTACAATACACAATTATAATTTTGTAAAACTTTTTTGATATTATTTGAACTCTGATGGCATTTGTGCTTACTGTTCCATTGTAGAAAACTGGCGTAAATATTGTCGGTCTCTGCATATGTGACGTTTTCTTATATTTATAGGTTCAGTAGGTTTTGCCGGTATGTTAGTCGGAAGTTTAGTGTGGGGCAGTATTGCTGACCGGATAGGAAGAAAACCTTCTCTCCTTCTCTCGCTCTCCATTAATGCCATCTTTTCATTAGTATGCGCATTCATGCTGACCTTTGAACTGTTCGTCATGTGCCGATTTATCTGTGGATTCGGGTAAGTTTAAAAGAAACATGCATTTATATGTATTTGTGTTTGTTTATTGGTCAATCGAAACCTCAAAAATCAGTAGTCAAATACATAGTTATACCTAATTTATTTGAATATACTATTCCTTCCATATCAATTAACTTAAAATATGCATATAGATATTGTAAACGCATGCTGATAGTCTCGCTTCAAGACTGTGGTCCTCCCTCTATCTACTTCACCTACTGGGAGATGGGGGTCACAATAAGGGCTTGTAGCTAGACTAGCATGTTGACGCTGTTATTTTTTACTTAAAGGATTGGTGGATCTATTCCCATAACCGTGGCATATTTCCTTGAATTCTGCCCCCGACAGCGTAGAGGTCGGCACATCGGGATGCTCTTGTTATGGTGGACAATGGCAGGACTGTATGTCTCGATTGCCGCGTGGATAATCATCCCATATAAAGGTATCGGGTCATTTTATTGTGCTAAATATGAAGTTGATTGATGATAACTTGGGGATGCTTCTCTTTGGAAGAGGTGGTACAGTACCTCGTCAAACCATGGCTATGGATATTTGGGATTTGTTATCCTACTTTAATTGTAAGGGTACAGAGAAGTCGTTAGTTCATTTGATTTGGCCTGTCAGTTCAAAATGGACTCCATTTACCGACGGCCTCTAGTGCCGATCTTTAAGGACTCCACAATGCTTGTTGCAAATGCTGAAATAAGAATCGAACTTTAAAGAAGCAGTTTCTGATTGGAGTACAATTAGAGTACACCCTTTGAAAGTCAGTTATTTGATAATATGCATGAGTAGATACTGAATAGCGAGATATAATGGGAAAAGCGATATAATTTGATAGTGTCGACACAACAGCTACTATTATCTATGGTGTAGCAGCATGGCCCTTTGCAGAGTAAATTCCAATATATAGATACAAAATTTGTTTCAGAATTAGCTTTCCATATAATGGGATCGGACTTTCATAGCTGGAGAATCTGCCTTATAGTCTGTGCGATCCCATGCTTAGCCTCCGTCATTGGACTATTCTTTATGCCCGAGAGTCCCAGGTATCTCTTAGAGGTATGGCAGTTGTTAAACAGTAAAAGCACTACTTTGATATTACAACAGTGTATTAATGGAACGCAGAGGAAAAACTTCGAACAATACTAGTACATGTAGATGCATGTGCACGAGTGTTAGAATTATTCATCGTCCGTTGATTTCAAGTTTATCTAAATTCTTCCTTACTTTAAAATACCAGGAACCTTTTAAAAGCTCTCTTTTGTATCCTACATTTAGGTCGGAAAAGATTTAAAGGCTCTCTCGGTGTTCCGCCAGGTATACCTGTGGAATCATGCTGAAGACGACTCGGATGACGAATACGAAATGCCAGAAATTCGTATCCCCAATAACATGCCTGCATCGCCATCTATACAAAATGAAAAAGCTAAAAACTGCTTTCATGATTGCCAGTCAAAGTTCAAAAATGTAAGATTCTTGTTTATGGATATTGATGGATTTTACCTATTCTGCTACAGCGATAATATATTTCAGTTTCATATCACTTCTCAATGTTTACGCCGTCATTGAAGCACAATAATTCCTTACTACAGTAGACTGGTTCCCCGACTGTTCCTACATGTAATTTATTCTGATTCTAACAGTTTGCCATCAGGGAGCCTAATTAGTACAATTAAATAATAATTTAATAAGCCTTATTAAAGGGATATGTTTCATAACTTACTTAGAAACATCCCTAAATTAGCTTAATTAGGCTAATTATCTACTGATTCTTATTAAACTAAGGTGGGACATACGCCCTAAAGATATTTTATTGTTTGGCTTACCTTATTATGTTCAATTATCTATTTTACCCTATATTTCTTGGTTCAAGGGTGGGTTGTGGGTTTCAGTAGTCATACTTCTTTGAAGTTCAGTGGAATAATGAAGTCCCAGTTACCTCGTGACCTTGACATCAGTCATGTGATCTTTTTCATACACCTATGAGACCTTCAAATGTTTCAAATAGTAATTCCAAACTGTATATTTCAGATTTGCAGTTCATTCAGGGATATATTTGGTTCGTCCCTTATTGTAACCACACTCATTCTTACTGTCACATGGTCAGCACTGACCTTTGGGTAAGTAGTATACTCTAACGGGGTCTAACTGAAAGTATTAAAATTATTGAAGTTGACTTTCTCAACCTTAAGGTGGACTGGACGTGAACAGAAAATTTGAAAAATGTGCAAGACTGAAATTTCCAAACTATCCCCGACAAGTCATTTCTTTCGTTTCAAAGGTTTCTGAAGAAAATATTATCAAATGAAGAACACGTCTTTCCATTATTTAACGGTTGCACTTTTAGGTCGCACCCTGTATAGTGTCTAAACATTTTCAGTTTCAATTGCTAGTACAAATTTATAATTATGATCTCATAATTAGTTCCTCTTGTTTTACAGGTATTACGGGATGACCATTTGGTTCCCTGAATACATGAAAAAACTCCAAATGGAGGCTTACTTCCGTACTACTGAATATACTGCTAACTCTACAGTCCTAGGTGCCAACTTCACCCATCAAACAGACAATATGGAGTACGACAACGTCATGTTTGATCACGTGACTTTTTACAATATAATCCTGACGCATGTCACATTTCAAAATTGTACATTTCTTAATTGTATATTTAAAAATGTCACATCTGCAAAAACGTCATTTCTTTCATCAAGTTTATACAATGTGACTTTTACACACACAGACTTTGTGGATGCACAGTTCCAAAACACGCACTCTCGGAATGTTTATTTTGCTGAAAACATGACGGGATGTGCTGTAGATTTTGATATTAACTACAGCGCACGTCAGGTGTATTTTGAAAACTTTCTCGGTCAGTTAGCTGTGTTACCTGGAGGACTTGTTGTTGCCTTCTTGGTCGACTTCGTCGGCAGAATTAGGTTACTAGGTAAGCTGAATGATAAAACGAATTAGGAATTGCGATGATATGTGAAGATTGAAGAATATACTATGGATAAAAATAAAATGTATGGACACTGATTACTATGTAGATACTACATGATACGAATTGATGTTTTAATTTGCTTCTTAATAGCTGTTCTAATTTGTACCATAACCAACGGACGGACGGACGGACGAACTGCTAAACGGATAGACGTATTTTACCTTATTGGATAAAAACAAAATAAACTTTACGCTGAAACTGAAATATGCGTAATTTTGTTATTTCAGCTGGATCCATGTTCCTATGCGGGATAAGTGTGTTTTTTATTTGGCTGTTGGACAGAGAGCTGGGGGTGGTCATTTTGAACTGCGTCTTCATGTTGCTTGGCAATATCAGTTGGAACACCCTCGAGATCATCAGTGGAGAACTCTATCCTTCTAGAACGAGGTATTTTCAGATCATTTTACTCCTTTAAGGCTCATGTTTACTTTTCGGATTTTGAAACGGCCAGCGGCCACGCTTTCTTTGCCCTAAGTAATATAATGTCAAATGGGGGAGCTTGGTAACACCCCAGAAAAGAAAGTTTTAAAGGGAAGTTTTAAAATCACTAGACACCGCAAAACATACGGTTCATTGTCTTCGGCCTAAATGTATCTGTCATCAATGACCTGTTTAAGAACTATTCTAGCATTAAAAATGGATTCTAGCATTACTCACCATGAATCTACTTGTTGAGACTCAATCAACTTGAGTTCTTCTGAGAAAACAGCATTTTAGCAAGATTGGTATCCCGATGCTAAGTCATGCTAAGTGCTAAGTTGGCCAATGGTGTATGTCCCCATATATAGCACCCTTGCTGAAATACTCATTTTCTCAGAAGAACTCAGAATATACAACAGGACATTATAGCCTTTAAAAAAATTTTTAGTACTATAAATCACGGTCATAAAATAGAAATTAAATCAAATCAGAATTCGCCGATGACACTCATAGGCAACCGTTTCGCTTTAATCCTGCTTGACTTTGAGTGCCATTTGACCATTTTAATGTGTACTTTTAATCTCGGTTGCAGGGGAACAGGTTTGGGGTACTTGAGCTGTATATCCAGGGTAGCTGCTGTACTGGGAAATGTGTCTTTTGGCAATTTGATCGATATTAGTAAGTTTATACCTATTTTGCTGACAGCAAGCGTCATGGCTATTGGAGGGCTCGTGTCTACCAAACTGACTGACTCCAGAGACATCATGATATAGGTAATACCGTATATACCATTGGAAAGTGAGAGTTACGTGTGCAATATCTCTATTCAAAAGAAGACACCAACTTTTGGAATTATTACTGTAAGTCCGTAATAAATCAGAACCAGCAGATGAATCGTCGAATGGTGTCATGGTGTTAAATGAAGACATCATTAGTTCGCTAGCGGAATGTTAAGGTTATGAGGTATATGATTCCTTCCATAAGAGACTAGAACTATTGCTATGAACTACATGTATGAACTACGTTGATATAGCCAGCAAATGAACAATAGAGGCCATGACTAACTCTTGTATTTATACATTCTGAGATGATGATTTATATATCAACATTTGAGTATGAACCATATACAGACATTAGGATGGATATATGGTTATTGAGAATGGATAGTATTATAATTTTGAGATTTTGTCACATTTGAGAATGTACGTAATGTCAAAATAATTTTACATTTTACAAAACAGACTGAGTGGTTTGCAGAATGATGCAATGGATATTGAAAATGAATTACAACACATGCAATTAAAACATCACAGGCATTTACGAAGATTTAACGCATTTGCAGAGAAGAGAACATGTAAAACGTGTAAAATGTTTGCAATATACGAATATGTTGTTAACATTTTGGTTGGCTGTATTGTCTACACACATGCTGATGGAGTCTAGAAGAATTTAAACACTTCATACAGTTGATGAGTTTAATAATGATTAATCTTTTTGAATATTATCATTAACAGATAGTTATTATATAATACTCAGAAGTTGAATACATAATTCGTCCCCGCCGAATTTTGATCCATCTTTCGGAGGTACAAGAAAAATGGGGAAGTAGAGGGGGTTATTTTTATGATCCTTTTATATAATGTTCTATGGATCAGACCACTAAGATCCTTTCTAATTTCTCTTTATAGTAAATTTTGCAATTTGATTAATTTGTTTGACCAACCAATCGAGTATATCCTGTTAGTTATAGTCATATGCTGTAAACTTAAATTCATTTCAATTTGTGGATAAACACTGGAAATGGAAATGAATTCACGTACGTGTAGACATAGAGTGGGTACAAATAGTTCGTTCTGTCGAGAGGAAAACTTGTGCATCTTTCAGGAGTAATATTCCCCTTGTCAGTGCATAGTTGTATGCAAAAGTATATGTTCGCCATGGATACTTTTTTGTTATGTCATCTAAATGTATTAGTAATATCGAAAGTATTTTATCTTTTATTGATTATATTTAACTTATGAAATAAATAATTAATAATTCTTTTGTTATTTCCTTTTTGCTTACACAAGTTAGACTGAAAATTGATTTATACATGTAGAGGGCCATATGTATTCTTATATAAATCGAACTATGTAAAAGTATTTGAAATTTCTATACAGACTTTGGGCCAAATTATTATGTTCTCATTAAAACTGAGATGTAGTTAGATATGGTCAAGCAAATCCATAACTAGAATATACCCTTTGCAATATTGATAAAAAGATTGCCTAAAATCATGCAACCCATGGCTTAATCTGATAGTGAACAACAGTTTTTAAGGTCATTGTTAAACAATGTACAAATGCCGATATTTGAGCCGATCTTGGCAGTTTACGTCATAACTTTGAAACGCGATGATCGGCATTTTGGCAGTCAAACAGTTGACATTAACTTTACTTAAATCGTATTTACGTTTATCATACAGAGAAGCCGTTCACCCGTCCTTCCGTCAGTTCATTCGTTCGACTGTCAAATATCAGTTGAAAGATTAATACCTTATGGACAAGTGACCTCTATTTCAGAGGTAATTTTCAATATGACCACTAGATTAGTTCAAAATATTCGCCAGTTTTCTTAATAGTATAAAACCCCCGACGTCAACTTGCGTATTCTGACAAGAAGGACTTCGGTAAAATTCGTTCTAGCAAAGGATAAAGTCATTAAAATTACGCGCAGTTATTAAAACTAAGCTACAAGTATTGTTGAAGTATGCCCGGCTCCTCCAATCTTGGCCAGACTCAAACGAACTGTAGACTATACTGATTTTCAAATTATCAAATATTATACTGATTTAACATTCCAAGTGTGATTAGCACAGACATCACAAGCATAATGACAAAGAAATAACGATCCAGAGTTAGGGCCACTTTCTTCCAATCTCCTTTGTTAGATGTCACCACTGTATTTGCCCGTTCTGCCTCTTTGTTGGCGCCGTTCTTATTGCCATCTTCTGTGCGTGAATTCATATAAGTAGTATAGTTCGCACTTTTGAGACACATGGAGCTGGAGCATTGTGGAGCACAATTGTGGAGCACTGAAGCATATGAAGCTGGAGCATTGTGGAGCATAACCTGATTGAACAGAAGCTGGAGCATTATATTTTGGTTTCAAAGTTACCAAGACAACAGTTAGTCATCTTGTATCCTGATTAGTCAGATGGTTTCAATTGGTTTCAAATGTATTTGAACAGTACATTAGTTGTTTAATTGTGTGTTTACCCAGACAATACACCTGCTTGTTTCAATTGTTAAACCCAAAAACCAATTGATGTACTGCCCAAATAGTTTGAAACCTATTGAAACCATTTGGTTTTGTCTGCATAACTTTGAAACTTATCTATAAGTCATCCTTTATACTCTTGAAACATTTGCATTAAATTCAATAATTCATTTAATATTGTGATAAACAATAGCACATTGTTATCTTAAGTCATCCAATTAGGATAAGCATTTTATCAGTTTTATTCATTCATCATATGTGTTAAAATAATGCCTTTAAGTTTATTAAGTTTAACATAGGTACATTTAGCAGGCTCATTTTAGCTATTGGTTATTGGTCACTCGTGAACTAGACCTAATATCAGTTAATACTAATGTCTCAGATGGTCTTTATAGTTTTAAAGCTGATACAATAACATTCAATAATTATCATTAACAGTTTTTAAGTGTTAACCCATTAATTGCTTGACCATCTAGATTCAACCATATTCCATTAATTCACATCAATTTTCAAACAACATAACAAATATTAACTATTCCATCTAGCTATTATAGAACAGCTTTCAATTAATCCTATCCTTTTTTCAATTATTCTCTTTGGGTGTATATAATGAAATTGCCCAGTCATTTAATGTTTCAATAAACATTCTCTTTCGGGTGTATATAATGAAATCCAATATTTGTTTATCTACAAACTACCTAACCATTAAATCATCCATTGAACATAAGTGCATTCAAACACAGCTGAACAAATATTTCATTTATGTAATAATATGTGTTTAAGTAATCAAACTAAAAGTTGGAAAGTCCAGTTGTCCAGGTGTTTGTTGTGTAAAGTGTCTACAGATTAAATGAATTAAGAGTATTATATGTAATAATATTATGTCCTTTGTTTTGAAAAGGTAATCTGATGTTAAGCCTCTTAACAAATAATGAATGTGCATTTGTAAGAACTTGCAAAAACTCTCTAAAACAAAGAGGAATCCTTGAGTAGTAGAATATAAACACCCCTCATAAGTATGTTGTACACTTAAGACTGAACATATCTCAACTAATCTGAATATTCTACAGTGAATTAAAAATTACTTGGATTTAGATTTGGCTGAAAAGGATATCTATCCATCAGAAAACGTAAGTAATAACCTATTCAATTTAATAATTCTTTACAAATAAGGTTAAAGTAACTCTCTGACGATTCTAGGCCGAATTTCGACAATTTAAGCAATATGGTTTCAAGAAAATAGTCTTACCTTTCTATTAGGATGGGTTCAGGTGCCAAAAATAACTGATCCATGGATATATATCATTTTGAAATTTGGAAGCAAGAAATATTTTTTCGGAGCCATGTTTAGATAGAATAGATTATCTAAATGAAAACTGAATTTACATCATTAATCCTGGTTTTGACTTAAACATTTACCGTTTTTTTCCATAAAATTATTGTGATTCCTACGCTCTTAACTTTTTAGACTAAACAAGTCAGCTGTGAATATATGTTTAAGAATAATATATCTATTTAGTGCTGTTTTATTTAAACATGAAATTACTTTCATTTTAGGTTCCATCTGTTCCCAATCCAACAAATGATGATATACGAAGATCTCACCTGCTACAAGAACGTCAACTGCAATATCAACAACAATATCTGCAACACCAACAATATCAATCTCATCAACAACCATCACCCTTACAACAACAACAACATCAACTTCATGAACAACCACCACATCACAACCAACATCGAGATCAACAACAACCACCACCACCCCCGCCACCACATCAGGAACAACCTCAACATCACCAGGAACAACAACAACATGGATACAATGTAACATTTAATTATACATTCACTATATCAATCAAAAGAAACTATTCACACTAGAAATGAATATACTATATATCCATAGAGTGTATGCATTTTACTTGAGATGACTAACCTTATGTAACTTCTGGTTTTTTGATGTTGTAAGCATATATTATATCACTTTATTTGATGGAATATTAAGACATGGCTAGCTTTAAAATAAATGAATATGAAAACAATTTTGCTCTTCTGTTGTCAAAAAGTTAGTGTAGATATGAAGTAAACAGCGTGGACATACTTACAACTCAAGGGAATTTTCACTTATTAGACTCCAGTTTGAAAAATCTGGACTCTATTTTTGCCTGAATTCTTCTTATTCTTCTTTTTCTTAGCAAGTTTTATCAGTAACTAGAAGACTTTGGGTAAATCTATTTACATCACCAGTTAGGGTGTGTGATCTACTTTCTACGAAATTAGGTTTAATTTATATCTTAGTTAAATGTCAAAATCTAAGTCAAATTTTCAAGTCTCACAAATTTTCAATTTTCTTTCTAATCTCGCAGAATATCTTGCTAGGAATCATTTTCTATATTTATCAAAATATTTTACACGATTCCCTCACTCTCTGTCTCGATAAAATTATAACTAATAAATTTTAATTATCTAAAAGGGTAAATTTTAAAGTGTACCAAATATGTCAGGATTTGAATCAGTTTAATAGGGAACTTTCTCAGAATTCTGAATCTGAAAACAAAGTTGATGTCAAAATCATTGTTTAAATAAAAATTTGGAATCTGAAGTCTTGAATTGAACTTAATCAATTTAAAGAGCGTTCACAGTTGAAATGTAACCAGTTTGTTAACATAGCCCCAAATTTTGTGTAGGATGAATAAAAGCCAGAATAAATCCCATTGATAAATGTTCTCCATGGGATTAGCTTATAGTTATACTGTTATTTACGAATTCTCATGTGGATCAAGTAAAATTCAAATAAACTGAATATTAATCATATAATTATGCCAATAACAATATTTATTCTATCTAAATTACACCTAATTAAACATACAACATAAAACTGAAAATATCTTCATAAAATCAAAGAAGATTTTAAAATAGCTATTTTTACCTTGACACTTATTGTTAATTGTGATTGCAACCTTTAAATTATCCATTCCAAAATTACAGTTCTATTATTATAAGACGAAAAAATCATTCACAGACAGTTATTTTATATTTTATATTTCATTACACCAAGTTAGTAAGTAAGACTGCATAATGTTATAATGATAATGTCTATGCATTTATGAGTTCATTTATCAATTCCTGATTTTCATCTGGATTGATGATGTTGTGTCGTAGGTCTTCTGTTTCCTGGATCTCTCGTTTGATAGCATTGAAATTCTTCACCATATTCATCCCTAGAAATTTCACCATTCTTCCCAGATACGATTTCAATTCTAGCCCAAGAACGTTTTCCAAAGCTCGTTCGTAGTATGTGTTTACCATCTCTTGCTTTGTTAGCTCGCCATCGATAACCATTAGATCTTCATCATCTTGACTAGCTTCCTGGATTTTTTCCCATACCAAATTAACCAAGCAATAACGAACCAACTCCTTACAGCTAGGCTTCTGGAACGCTTTCTCTGTTATAGTCGCTTTTGTTGTTGATGAACTCTTGGCGATAGCTTCTTGAATAATCATCTTTTTATCACCATTCGTCCAGTTTCCCTTCAATTCAGACTTATCATCTAATTTCTGAATGGTGTAGCGATAAAGCTTGACATATTGCAATTCTGCATCATCAATGTTATCTGTGTTTTTTCTCTTATTACGAGGTTTGAGAAAAACATCAATCTCTGACTGCAACGCAAACAAATTCTTCCAGCATTGTATCGGAATGTTCATGCTTCGTTTTAGGTTGACATCTCCATTTTTCTCAGTATTGTGTAGACACACGTATACGGTTTCGCAATAGTCCAACTTTGAGAGTCCTAAAAGCAAATTTCCGTAACAAAGCTGCTGCTGGTCAAATACACATTCTTTTTCCCATTTTTCGATCAATTCTACATTATCTTTAAGACTTGTCCATAACGAGCTATTTATGTAAAACCTCGCCACATATTCTACACCCTTTTGATTTTTTCTAGGTTTTGAAAGTTCTCCAAATAGTGATTCATTTTTCTTGCGAATATTGAAATCAACCTTTTCAGTTAAATCATAATTCTTCTCAATCACGCTCAAATCTTCTTTTTTGTTCGCTTGTGCCATATCTCTGAAGTAACTAGTTGCTTCTCAAGAATCTTGTGAAATTATTCTAAAACTATCCAGAATTTATAGTCATAATCTTAATCTATATGTTTGTTTGGTTTCAAGAATAAATGGTCATACCTTTGTATTGGATCGAAAATGTAATGTTTCACCAGCTCAATGATTATCAGGTTTCAAGTTCTGGTTTCAATAAGAACATATTATTTCATTTAAATTCAACATTATGTTAGAATGTAAATATTTTGTCACCTGTATTTGTGGTATTTCATAATTACATTGTTTTAGAATTTGTTGGGTTTTCAAAGGTTGCAAAAAAGAACAAAAGAACAGAATTCTTAATCATATTTATGAAGCATTTCACTATGTCCAGATGGTACAATGCAAATATAGCTACCTATGTACAGGTTTGTTTGGTTTCAAGTATTGTTGAATAAACCTTTGTATTGAATCATAAAATGTATTGTTAAACCAACTCAATAATTAACAGGTTTCATATTTGTTTGGTTTCAAAGGATGCAAACAGAACAATAGAACAGAATTTTCAAACAAACTCATGTTACAATGTAAATTTAGCCACCTAGCAAAGTAATAACACATATTTTGTTTTGTTTCAAGAATTAATGGAGTCTCCTTACATATATTGTTTCTTCATCTAAATACTAAGTGTAAATATTATGTAACCTGTCTTTGTAATATCTCTTAGTAATATCATTGTTAATGGAACAATAGAACAAAAGAACTAATGCTTAACCAAACTTATAAAGCCATCGAGAAATATTGAATATTTTCCACGTTTAAAACGAAAATTACCTCATTACATAATTATATTAGTAATAATTACTATTCAAACATGTTTCAGAAAGCATGTGTAATGGTTTCAAATATTACTAAGCAATTGGTAAACATACTAGTATATAAGAATATAAATTCTGAATTCACTAGTTTTATTGAAACAGATTAAGATGGGTTCTATGTTTCAACCAAACATCACATATAAGTGTTCATTTTGTTCATTTAAATCAGAAAACTATGACGAAGTACATTCCTTTTCTCACTCGCGACTATGTTTAGCAAGAAAAACATTCGCAAATGTATTGAAGAAGGAAGCAAGTAACACTTCATTTGAAGTTACAAAAACAAAATCGTTCCAAGGAACAACATGGCCCTCAAGCATTTAGGTGTGGTAAGTTTATTTTTTCGTTATATTTTCTCAATTCAATTAGACTGAATTAAAAACGATAGAAAATAACAAGTTTATTCTCTCTAGTTTGTTTTATTATTTTGTTTTAGGTAACTAACCTCAATCAATATGAAAGAAGTTACATCAAAAGACATTAACTGCGAATACTGTAACAAGTTATTTTCACAGAGAGCATATAAGAACAGACATGTATTTGCAGTGCATTTAGGTCTCCGTTATTCATGCTCATATTGTCACAAGCAATATGGATACAAATGTAAATTAGTTCAACATATAAAGAAAAAGCACATGCCTCGTAAAGAAACAGTGAGTCAGATGAATCAAAAGTTCCCAGAAGAAGTGAGTAATGTGGTTAATGAAAGCTGGATAGAAGAGGTTCTTTTAGAATTAGGACATTAGAAAAAATGGCCACTTCATCAAGCAGAGTAAAATGTAATTTTTGTCCTGCTACATTCTCGAAAAATAGTAATAGGAAACGCCATGAATCATCTATACACTTGAAAATAAAACCTGTTTGTAAGCAGTGTCAGCAGGAATTTGCCAGAACGGATAGTCTCGAAATACATGTTAGAAACCAGTGCTGCAGAAATGATAAAAAAAGTGCTGAACCTGTTAAAAAACGGTTGAAACTTGTTTCAAAATCTGACCATCAAACCAATCAGAATGAAAAACAAGAAGATCCTTGCGTTGAAAACCACAAGCAAAATAAACAGCAAGGATTTGGTGATGATTTGAGAATTCAAGCTCCGGAAAATACTGAACATAGTCATGTAAGTAACACTCAAGAGTTGGATGAAATCAGTCAGCATGGTGATGAAACTGAAGATATTGACGATGCTAATTTTATCCAGAATGCACAACGCGAACACTTTGATGAACTTAACAGTGATGAATATGGAACATTACCGTGGGATAATGGGGATGGAACAATTGATGAAGCTCTTAAGAAAATGTTTGAAATAAATCAAAATGTTATTCATGCGCCACATGTCATAGGTAATTTAACACACGAGTATAATTACTATCTTGCACGCGGCGATGTGGATATAGGAGACATCCTAGATCAACTTGAACACATTTACTCCCAAGAAAATAACGTTTTCAAAATAACTTTTACATTAGGTCTCATATTAAGTCATAAAGAAACGGGTGAATTGAGATATTTTTACCCGCATAACAATGAAAATATACTTCAAGAACCATTTCAGATAACAGAGTTCAATGATGTAGAAGTGTTACTTAGTAAAATAAAAGAAATTGATTTTATTGATGCAGTTTGGAAGCATAGACCCGACACTAAATGGTTGCCCTACAGAATTACAAATATACGTTGGGTGACAACACCTACTGAGTTTTTCCTAGGAGCCGGTGTCCACCTCCCCGAATATATCACAAGTAAAAAATGCATAATTTCACTGAATAAAGACCATTACTCAATCCTATACAAAGATAAACTTTGCGCATTTAGATGTCTAGCATATCACAAATGTAAAAACAAACGCCGATTAGAGACTTACGTGGAACACTATATAAGCATATGGAAGGAAGCTGGAAACTGTGCTGAAAATGGTATATCTATCAAGTCTGACTTACCATTGTTTGAAGATGTTTTCGAAACCAGCATTAACATATTCAAGCTCAAAGAAAATAAAGAATGTAATTTGATATATCGAAGCAGCAAGAAATTTGACAGCGTCATGAATCTTAACCTCTATGGAAATCATTTGAGCTATATCACAGATTTAGGACTGTACACCAAAAAATACAAATGTAGGAATTGTTCAAAGTTATTTCCGAAAAGTAACGAACTTAAACGTCACGAGGAAAAGTGTAAGGAGGCTAGTGCATTGATATTTCCAGGAGGATATTATCAGACTCCAGCATCAATTGTAGATCGAATACGATCTGCTGGATATGACATTCCAGAAAAGGATAGAGTATATCCCTATTTCATATGCTACGATTTTGAGTCATTGCTATGTGACACAGATGGTTTTGGTGATTCAACAAAATTAAAATGGGTGTCGGAGCATGTTGCTGTCTCTGTCTCAGTCTGTAGCAATGTAGATGAATATGAAAGTCCGAGGTGCTTTGTTAACACAGATTTGGATTCACTCATAGGGAACATGTTCGATTATTTAGGAAAGATTCAGGAGAAAGCATCTTGTTTAATGTTGAAGAAATATGAGGATGTTCTGAATGATATTTCTGAAATCAGTGAAGGAAATGATGAAAGCGGTATATGCAATACAGATCCCAGAATCAGAGCTGACATGAAGAAAATGAAACAAGATCTAGAGGACTACATTCAGCAAATACCTCTGCTAGGCTATAATAGTAGTCGCTACGATTTGAATCTAGTAAAAAAGAAGATGGCAGCATATCTTTATAAAGATTCTACCGAAAATAGTTTTGTTGTGAAGAAGAATAATGCCTACAGTTGCATAGCATCCAAGAAATTTAAATTACTTGATGTTATGAATTACGTATCGCCTGGGACTTCCTATGATGCTTTTTTAAAAGCGTATGAAGTAGATACAAGGAAATCATTTTTTCCATATGAGTGGTTTGACAGTGCCGACAAGCTAAAGGAAACAAAATTACCTCCTTATGAAAGCTTCTACTCGAAATTGAAACAGAACAATGTATTAGAAATTGAATATTTGACATATCAAAAGAAACTCAACTCTGGATATAGCAAAGACAGAATTTTAGATGCAACGGCTTCAAGAGAACAACCCAAAACAGGAAGAGAAAACTATGAAAGTCTGCTTGAAATATGGAAGGAACATAAAATGGCAACATTTTCAGATTTCTTAAAATATTACAACAATTTGGATGTTAAGCCATTCGTACAAGCCATTGATAACATGCTAAAATTTTACATCAAGAAAGGGATTGATCTATTCAAGGAAACCATAAGTGTACCGGGAGTAGCTAGAAAATTAATGATGAAACTTAAAGATAAGGATTCACACTTTTCTCTCTTCTCTAAACAGTACAGCGATATCTACATGAAAATAAAGGAGAACATAGTTGGTGGTCCCAGTATTATATTTCATAGATATCACAAGGCGGGAGTTACAAAGATACGAGGGGAAAAGTTATGCAGAAACATAATGGGATACGACGCCAATGCCTTGTAAGTATTTTTATATCACTATAAAATAAATCATATTTAAATATACATCGTGTAAAGTATACATTGCTGATTTAATCAAAATTGTAAATGAATTTACACAGTGTTAATTGTACACGAATTAATTAAAATTATTAAGTTCCACTTTATTTTGTTTCAGATATCTCTGGTCAATAGCACAAAAAATGCCTACTGGACCATTTACCGTTCGAAGGTGTGAAACAAAGTTCAAGAAGGAAAAGCAAGATAGGTATCTGAAAGAATGGTATTACCTCGAATGGATTAGTCATAAACATGATAGAGAAATTCAGCACAAATTCAACGGTGGACAACGGAGAATAGGACCCTACTTTGTTGATGGTATTTTTGGTAAAGACATTTATGAATTTAATGGGTAAGTGATTTTGAATTGTAATTGTAAATGATTTGTTCTATTCACAAAATACAAGTTAATTAACCATAAACATGTCTGATACTTGAGCTTACATATTTGTTTTCTATCTATTCAGTTGTTACTTCCACGCACACGAATGTTGTCTCACAACAAATGTGAAAAGTGAAAAGTGGTGGAAGGAAGCTCCGTCAGTTCGCGAAAGACATCAGCAACGGAAGGCATTCTTAGAAAAACAGGGCTACAATGTTACTGAAATTTATGAGTGTGAATACAATAAAGCAGTACAAGATAATCAAGAGTTGAGAGAGTTTCTAAAACGCTTTGAACGACCATGTGATCGCTACAGTAACATGTCTGAATCAAAGATTCTTGAAGCTATAAGAGCAGACAAACTATTTGGTGCGGTGGAAGTAGATATTCATGTACCAGATAATTTAGTTGAACACTTCTCCGAAATGTGTCCAATATTCTGCACTACAGAAGTTCCCGTAGAT